AGACATAGGAAGTGTAAACCACCCGACACGTCTTGAAATACCGAAGGAGTGTAACGCACGCGTGAGTCACAGGGTGACGCAAAACCCTGTGGCGCAATGAAGGTTTGATCTCGACTTTGAAACTCGAGTTTGGCTGGGATCCCACCTCAGCCGGTCCCCACTTTCGCCCCGGGAAGTGGCAAGGCCCGGGCGGGGGTCGCTGTAAAGCTAACAGCCAAAGCTCGAGATCTCGAGTTTCAAAGTCGAAATCTCGTCTTTTTTTTTTTTCTCATGTCATACATACATTCATACTTTAAGAACAAGAACGCTGGTAAAACCTTCAATTTATCTACTTTATAAAATTTTTCTTTAATATTCTTGTGCTGCACGGACGGTGTATGGTGTCTGTCCGTCTGTGTTGTTCAATAAAGTTTTAAAGAAGGAAACCAGCTGTTGAATCCCAGTTAAAGTCCTGCATTGAAAATAACACTAAAGTACCAAAAGTAAAGTACTAATAATTAATAAAAGTGGCCCCTGTGAGTGTTACACTGCTATATATGATGTTATTGGATTATTACTACTGATGCATTCATGTTTAACAAGTATGTTAGTGTTATAGTAGTCTAGGTAGAGATATTTTTACTCCTCTAGATACTGTTGGTGGTTGAATCTGTAACAATGCATCAGATTCTATAAACTAATCACATGCTTTATCTGTCTCAGTAACTATTTACTCCTACTCGTACTATGCCTCACACTGGGCACCATTTGTTGGAGTAACAATAGTTTAAAGGGGCACCAAAGTGTGTCGGTACGATCTATTTTTGTCAATCAGAATTATCAATCATCAAAGATAGCAATGGGTGTGTGTGTGTGGGTGTGGTTAAGCCCACAAATGTGTGCAAACAGTTAATGAGAAGAGAGTTTCAGATCTTCATGCTGATATAAAATGATGATATAAAAATTTATAGAGACTGCTATTTGAGTCTGATCTGAATAATGGAAATATTTTCAGAACATTGTATTTTCTTGTAGCACTTGAACGTTGCAGTGGCCCTCATATGAGATGACAATACCAGCAGTACCCCAAGACAATATGAGTTTGACTTCCTGTCCTGAACTTTAATAAATATATTCATGAATACATTCATCACTCCACTTTGTTGTTGTTATTGCACTTGTTGGGGGCGGGGCAACTCACCCAGTTAGTGCAGGTAGTTTGGTGACATCCCATAATTCCCAGCACAGCTCCACCCAACTTCATATCAGCCAGTGAGTAAAAACAGCTGTGCTAAATGCAGTGGAGTAAAAAGTACAAGCTGTCTCTCTGAGATGTAGTGCAGTACAAGTAGAGAGTAAAGTACAAGTACTGTAGTACAGTGCAGTAGTTGAGTAAATGTACTTGGTTCCTTTCCAGCAGTGAAATGGACGACACATTGGAACAGAGACAGAAATGTGTCACATGTGAATGAGTCACTGCTGATTGTTCTGGAGAAGAATGACTGAATAATGGAGCTGAGATCTCCTTTAAATGAGGAGTGCTCCTCGTCATGGAGGAGGATTTGGCGCCCTCTGGTGTCACAAACATAAAGTGCATCCTGTCAGTTGAAATGACACAGATTACAGGCTGTTTTCAGTGTTTGGGGATCATCCAAATATCAACAGGTAGAGATCATTTGTCCTGATGTTACATCATGTCAGCTCTGCTCAGTAGTTTGGACTTATTTCCTGTCTTTGTCTTTGGGAGTAAAAGCAGCTTCACATCTGGAACATCTGGAACTACAGATTCCTCCAGAAAGAGATTCTGTCTCATCTTCTCTGGACTTTATAGGACTGAAGTGTGTTGCATTCTGCTGCTGCACACTGCAACACAGACAGGAAGTTAGCCTTTATTTTGGTTGGCTGTATTTTGTTCTGACAGGATTAACAGGAAATGACAGTATGGGTGCTTTTCATCTGGCCTTTCTCGTTTCTCTAATTTGTGCCTCCTCGTCTCCTCTGACCTCCTGACTGTGACCCAGAAATCACTCTCAGTGCGCCATCTTGAAGGATGTCTCAATTCCTAGGGTGCTTTTTTATTAAGCTAATGCGTCTCCTTGTTGCCCTAACTCGCTTCCTTTCCTCACGTCTTAAATCCTCCCAGCAAGGAGGTGAGAGACATTCAAGGACACAGGAGGCGAAGCTGCCAAATGAGAAAACCTTCTTGCACAACATCAGTATTTATGACATATTGCAGCTGTATCACCTGTCAGACTGAATGTCCACAGAATCTTACTTAAGAAAAATTTCAAAACCTTACAGTATTAATTTAATTTATTAAGGTAAATTGTTTAACATTGTGCATTTTAGCACTATTAGTACTTTTGTCGATCATTTTATATTCATTATTTTATTGTAATAACAAGAGGGATCCAGCAGCATTGCTTATGAATAAAGATTTTGCAAAGAAAATTTAAAAAAAGCTTTTGCTCTTCACATTGTCTTTACAAACAGTTGTATAAGTAGCCTGTTGCCAGTCAGGAGGTCAACACCTCAGCACAGTAATTGCTTGAACTGATTTCAGGTGTTTACCGGCAACAGGCAGCAGGGCTGGAGGCAATCTGCTGACTGAAGGAGAAACAAGTGTTTGTCTTCTGTTTGTCTTTCTCTGTCCATCTCACACCGGCAGCCGCAGAGCACACAAGCTGGTTTTTCATTTTTCCAAATGTTGACGGCAGTCTGAGCACACCGGCATGGAAACAGCTAACAGGTACAGTTTCTTTATCTGCGACAGAGCTTTGTTCAACAGCATGCTGAGGCCCTTCAGATCATAACGATTGATTTTATTGTGTTTTACTGAGTTAATTAAGATTATGAGTTATTTCAGCCAGGTTTAACCACAGAGGGACATTTTAACATGGGTCAGATACTGTAAAATAGTTAGTTCAACTCAAACTGTTAGAGGGCAACGATCGCTTAAACTGTTTAACAACAATTTAAGAATGAAAGGTATTTGAGCAGTATTTGTTACAGTAACTTGGTAAAATTAAGTTAATTGTACCACTTCCATTTAGTTAACTGAAGTCAAAATTAGCATTACACTTATATGCAGTATTTCTCCAAACTTACCTAAAAAAAAGTGTTAACAGAATTTATCTGAATAAATTTAAATGCTTCAGTCTTCTTCCACTAAAGCAAACTATTACACTACCTGTAATTTATGTTAACTTACTTCTTTTATTAAAATGTGTTGTGAGGTTTTACAGTTTAATGATGCTCACAATTTGTGAGTCAAACAATATTTCATTAACACCAGTTTTGCATTTATCTTTTAATTTCTGTACTTTTCTTTTGATAATTCTAGTGTTGCTGGCTTCAGAATCACTTGTGCCAAAGTGTTACGTTTCATTCGGACCCTGACCCGAAAGAAGCCTCTGGAGCCAGAAGGCGAGGAGTCCAACTTCTGCAGATGCCTGACCACCTTGGACCTGGTGGGTCTGGGTGTGGGCAGCACGCTGGGAGCCGGCGTTTACGTGCTGTCAGGAGAGGTGGCCAGAGAAGTGTCCGGCCCCAGCATCATCATCTCCTTCCTGGTTGCAGCTTTGGCTTCGGTCTTCGCAGGGTTGTGTTACGCTGAGTTTGGAGCCAGGGTCCCCAAGACGGGCTCAGCTTACCTTTACAGCTATGTGACTGTAGGAGAGGTGTGGGCGTTTGTGACCGGCTGGAACCTGCTGCTGTCCTACGTTATCGGTGAGTAAAGCACACCTTTCCTCTGAGCAGTTATGCCAATGCATATACTAAATAGTTAGTGTCAATTCAAAACTTAACACACTTAAATTTAAGTCCAATTTTAAGTTTTGAAATAAATAATACTTATTTTACAGAAAAACATGAATCTTGAAAACAAATTAAAAACAGTTAATAATACTATTTGTATTTGTATTTGTACTTTTGAACTTTTACTTGAGTAAAGAATCAGTATTTCTCTTTTGAGTCTTTTTTTACATTACTATCTGTACTTCTTCTGGAGTATAGAATGTGTGTACTTTTACCACCTCTGTTATGTTAGATGTGTATTATATATTAATTCACTCACACTCTTTCTTACAAAACATGAAAGAAAGTAGCAAATTAATTGGTAAATGTTTTAAAAGTTGCCACATGACCTGTTTTAGAAAAGGTGAAAATGTTACATTTTACTCTGAATGGACAATGTAGGAAATAAAAATAAATTAGAAAATTAATGAATTAATATATTAAGGCTAACACAATGTTATGATTTCCGATTAATCGATGTTGGCCTGATTTTAGTGCTCTTTACTTGCCCCCTCTCCCCCGGTCCCTGCTGTAGTCCAAATTGAAGACCAAAGCAGGGTATCACAGGTTATTTTGGTGTGGCTTTTTGGCGCCATCCTGTGGCATTTTAAGATATTACAGACAAAAAAGCTGGAACTGCATTAATTTGTAGTTCACTGAGCAGAAGTTGTCGGCCACTGTTTTCCTATTTTTATTGTTCTTTGCATGTTTCTTTGATCCGGTATTAGCAATTTAATCTCTAGTGGATGAAAGTGGATGAAACCCTGTTTTCTTATTGTTTTATGATGATTATTATTATTTGTCTGCCACTAAAGCTCAAATTCCTGTGAGCTGAAACAAGCTAGAAACAACTGATAATGTAGGTACATAACTTAACAACATATAAAATATGGCTTGAGTGTTTATACACTGTTTAATGAGGAAATGTTACCGATTATAGCTTTAAATGTGCTTAATTTATTTTAAGACTTCTGTGATACACTGCCGATTTAGGGGATTAATAAACATTTTTCCACCTACAACACACATAATGATGGACGTAATATTTGATCAGCTAAGTAGTAAAAATGACCTTTTGTTGGTGTTAATTTGGACAATGGTTGTAAAAAATGATTTTTTCAATGTTTTGTTCTTCTCAGGAGCATCCAGTGTAGCGAAAGCCTGGACAGGGACCTTTGATGACCTCATTGACAACGTTATTGCTAAAACTCTGGAAAAACACACACCAATGGACTCCCCTGGCTTGGCTCCGTACCCAGACTTCTTTGCTGCTGGGCTGATTATGCTGCTCGCTGGTCTGTAAAAGAAAATGGAAAATATTCTACAAGCTGGAACTCAGTTGCATATATTTTACAGCCTCTTCTTTACTTTCAGGGGTTCTTGCGTACGGTGTGAAGGAGTCAGCGGTCCTAAACACTGTTTTTACTGCAGTGAATATAACTGTGCTGGTTTTTATCATAATTTCTGGTTTTATAAAAGGAGACCTCAACAACTGGCGAATCAGTCAGGAGACTATCCTGAATGCAACTCGACACATGGAGTAAGATTTCTGCTTTTACACTTGTGCTAATTCAAATGATTATATTACATTATATTATAAAAAGTCAGCTCAATTGCATTTAATACATTTAGACCAACATATCCCCTCAACAAAGGTGCACACTGAAGTATGTAATATTTTAAATTGGCTCAAATCATTTTTACAGCTCAAAATAGTAAGTGTATTTGCTGTAACTGATGCCCAGGTATTTCTTCTATCTGGGTTGTCTAAATCAAAGTGTTTCAAATGTGATCAGTAGAGTTTGCACCAAAGGTCTCAGATGTCATACTTTTTTTTTAATTAAAACACACATTGTTTTATACAAACATGTTTGTAGTGATAAAAACAAATACATAGTTACAGTTAAAAAAGGTGTAAGATTAGTATAGAAAGAGAACTTTCATTTAACACCTGAAAGTGTCAAATTATCCTTCAGACCTCGCAAATAAATTTGCTCTTTCACGATAAACCTCAGTTTATTAAACTGTTACATGTTGTTGTTTTTCATTTCAGACAATATTAAACCAAACTCCCTTTCAGAAATATTACATACTAACAGATACATGTCTGTAAAAACACTCTAAGAACACCAAATAAAAAGCCCACGTTTCTGGTCGGAAGGACAAACACTCCTGTTAAACACTATGAAAGACTTGGACATCAACAGGATTTTGGATACGTGCAAATATCACTACGAGTTAAAGAAGGAGGCTGTCGGAGGCAGAACCACAGTAAATGATGGAGAACATATGAGAGTTTACATGATTACTCTGAATGAAAGTGATCAATGAAGATATATTTTTCTTTGCACAGGAACCTTTCATTGACGCAGAATGAAACTGACGTGGCTGACTTTGGTGTTGGGGGCTTCTTTCCCTTCGGCTTCGATGGCACATTAGCAGGAGCAGCGACCTGTTTCTACGCTTTTGTTGGATTTGACTGCATCGCCACAACAGGTACCGTAGTGGATGAGTCGAAAACCTACGAAAAAAAACAGGAAGTCAAGTACAGAATCAGCATAGATTCCCGTCAATTTTCAAAATAAAATATAGCATGCAGGCTCTAGATAGACTTTCACACTAGATCAACATTGTGGCAGCAGACCAAAAGCCAGCCAGCCAGTCAGTCAGAGGAGCTTTTCCTTTTTACACAAGTAAACAACATCTGGCAGGCAACACTCTGAAGACACTCTACCTCTGAAAGGCTGAGGTGGGTTTTGAAGATGCGTGGATCACGGAGTAAAACCGCAATGCAGACGCAACCTTATAAAGCCGTGCACACTGCAGCTCTTCTCATCCACAACAACAGTATAGTCGACCATTAGGGGGCAGCCCTAATAATTTGAGTAATTGCTCTTCTGTTGGCCCTAATAAAACGACATTTACTTCTCGATTGTTGGTTTGCAGATTATTATAATGGTCTGAGGCAGGTTTCACGCCTGTAATTTTGGTTCAGATCAAACTGAAAAATCAGAAAATCCAGCCATAAATTAGACACTGTTCATATACTTGAAATAAAAACATTTTTTCAACCACTGGAACAGGAAAGAAAAGCTAACGTTGTGCTCCTTCAGGGGAGGAGGTGCAGAACCCAGAGACAGCCATACCTCTTGGGATCGTGGCGTCCCTGCTCATCTGCTTCCTGGCCTACTTTGGCGTGTCGGCTGCTCTGACGCTTCTGATGCCCTACTATCTGATCGACAGCCACAGCCCTCTACCTGTGGCCTTTGAGTATGTCGGCTGGGAGCCTGCGAAGTACGCTGTGGCTGTGGGATCCCTATGTGCACTCACAACAAGGTCCTGGTCCTACAGAAGATGCTTTTACTGTCTGACTGTGTGGGAATCTGATGTTTTCACATCACAGATAACAAACTTACTTACTTACTTTGGCAATAAGTAAGTAATGTGATTACATATCTTTTGTAGTGTAAATGCTAATGAATCCTGGACTGCATTAAATGACTACTCCACTGATGTCCTGTAAGACCACAGAAACACACTGTCTGTTTAGTTCCCTGTAATGTACATTTACACGCTTGGGCTCTTTTTCCTGATGTTTGTGAACACGGTCTGTTTCAACTGATTTGGCCACTGAACTAGTAACTGTAATATCACCGGACTCCCTTGAAAAAACTCCCAATTTTGGGAGTAAAGGGTGAGGAGAAACTTTATAAACACTGTCTATGACTTTGTTGTTCTTTATTTGGGCCTTCTTGTGAATGTGGGAAAACTCACACATAAAGTTATTTCGCTGCATGTTGGCACTGGGTCAAAATCAAAGCAGCGCGGCCAAGTTCTTCTGACTTTTAGCCTGTAGTATGGATCAAACTGGAAAAACCTCTGGACTTTACAATGAAATCAGCAGCATCTTTTCATTAAAACTGACCTCTCCAAGTATATTCTACAAGACTCTGACAATGTTATCTTTGTGTTAAATCTGTTGATTGCTTGGCAGAACTGAATGTCTAACCTGATTGTGCGCTGTTGTTCTTCTACAGTCTGCTGGGAGTCATGTTTCCAATGCCGAGAGTGCTCTTCGCAATGGCGAGGGATGGCCTGCTCTTCAAGCCTCTTAGTTACATGAGCTCCAGACAGAGTCCGGTCTTAGCCACGCTGTCTTCAGGAGCTGCGGCCGGTAAAACAGACTCATTTAAAGAAGTGAGGTTTTTCTGAGGCCCCTTCCACTGACTCTAGTTTGCTCAGTAACATATCTGGATGTCTTCGCAGCTCTCATGGTCCTGTTATTTGACTTAAAGGCGCTGGTCGACATGAGTGCAATCGGGACCATCTTTGCATACAGTCTGGTTGCAGTGTGTATTCTTGTACTGAGGTATGTACGCTCGATGTAAAGGATATCTTTTCAGTAAAAAGCCACAATATTAAAATTTAATAGAATTTCAGACAAAGGAACAACTTATTTGACCAACAAAATCACAACAGCAAAGAGGATGTTATTTGTGTTTTGTGATGTATTTATTTTTTAATTTGCTGTAGTGTTTTTATTTTGTGATTGTATTTGTGTTTTTTATTTGTTGTTGCAGTTTTTTGATTTGTTGGTATTTTCCTTTTTGTTATTTACTGTTCTCTGATGACTTTGTTGTTCTCTCAGGTACAAAGAAGACACCGGTTTCATCCACCGGTCGGAACCGTTTACTCTAATAGCACTGTTGAGGCCTCCGCCTCGACCCACCCGCCGCACCTCCAAAAACGTCAACGTAGTCACTGTTGTCATTTGTAAGTCATATCATACTTTTTGATCATGGTTTTCCAGCAGTGCAACTTTCCAGAGTTACTGAAACTCAAACACAAACAAGAGTTTTTCCTGACGGCTGGGATTCCTCTGCAGTGTTCCTGGTGATCGGTTTATGCGCGCTGCTGTCCGAGGCAGTGTTCTCCCTCCGCAGACGAGAGTCGTGGAGCGTGCTGCTCGTCTCTGTCCTCATGCTGGCGCTGGTCTTCGCTGTCGCTATCATCTGGAGACAACCGCAGAGCGCAACCAGAGCTGCTTTCATGGTAAACTGGAGGAGTGGTGGTGGTAGGCATTGAGGATTTCCAGTTCCAATGGGAGAGAGGATGTTAGGTGGGTCAGTCAGTGGGTTTTACTAAAGGGCTGCTGCAGGACACCGAACGTTTGTGGCAAAGACGTTATGTGCTCATTGAAAGGACCCCAAATGACACAAAGATATTTTAAAACTAGACCTCACAATTAATGAGCAGTAGAGCTTCTGGCTGTAAGTGCATATTTAGCAGAAACTAAGAAACCATATATCCAAAATGCTAAACATTTTCTTTCGAGACTTCAAAACGGTACTCAAAGTTCTGGCGATTACATGCTGTTTGCATGTTTAGGATACGCGTTGGGTTCACTTCAGACCCAGAAGCTGTGTCCATTATATATACTGTCAGTGCTTTGACGTGGGAGAACCAGTCATGAGTTGATCTGTTTTGTAGGTTCCCTGTCTGCCTGTAATTCCAGTTTTAAGTGTCTTCATCAACACCTACCTGATGGTTCAGCTGGGAGGAGAAACTTGGATCAGCTATGCGGTGTGGATGGCAGTAGGTGAGGACATTGTAGTTTATTCTTTCAGGTTTGTGCACAATCTGCGGAGAGATCTGAAATGAACCCATCTTTCCTCAGGCCTGATCATTTACTTTAGCTACGGCGTTCATCACAGTGTCCAGAAACAGAGGCTGCGGGAGGCTCGCACCCACATCAATATTGTTCATGTGATGAACAGCGATGTTGCTGCTTGATGTCTGACGTCTCCTCAAGTGCATGTTTTTATGCTAACAGTTGCTTCGTTAAAAGTAAGCTAATATGTTATGTACCTGAAAGTGTATATTGTGTCTTGTTTGTCATTTATCCATTTGTTTGTCATTCAAGACTATGTAATCTTGGATGTTGCCGTTTGTCAGTATCTGACACGACAAAAACATTATTTAAATATTGTTTATATTGAAGTTAATTTAAATAAATAAAATATAAATGTTAACTGAGATGGATAACTTGTAGTGTCTTTTTCCGTTAGTTTATACTTTTGTATTTTTACTGCATCCGTGTCGTATAAAGGAGGCGTGACAATACAAACCTGTATTGATAAGTTCTATCAGTTATTGAAGATGTTCAAACCTTCTGCCTTTCACTGTTTGTGTAGTGCCTTATAAGGCAATAATAGAGGGTGAATAAACAGCATTAATGAGTCTGTGTAATTCAGCAGATCCACCAACCAATAAAATAAATCTTAATTATCGGTCTGCCTCTCGTTTCCACAGCCTTCTCCCACTTACAATGAATGCTGTAGCAAGTTAAGGCGACTAAATCATCAAAAAGTTTATCTTTATGGATGATATTGATGCTGTATTGACGGTCGGACTGTAGACATATGACGGCCTTTGTCTAGTGTTTCTAGAGTGACGTGTTACGGACACATTAGGAACTGTTAAAATGTGATATTTCTTAAAGGAAGTTTGGTGTTATATGCTCCCTCAGTACGGGGCACAGTGGAAAAACCAATATGTTGTATGTAACAGTGCAATGACCTGATCTTTTGAAAGAGTGAAAGAGCAGTTTCTTTGGTTATGATTGACAAAAAAAAAAATTTATTCAGATTACACATCATGAATAAGGCTTTGAGGCAAACTTCCTGCTTTCCTTATATTCCTCCATTTCTCTTCCATTCTCTATCCATCTTCTTGTTTTACCCATCCACACCATCACCCTCCTTTCCCTCGATCACAGTCGTTACAGCTGACTGTACAGAGAGGATAATTTATGGAGCCAATCTCGTCTTCATTTGTCAAGCATCACTCATCATTTGAGGAGCCTGCTGGACACGCCGCCGCCGGTCTCTGAGGGCCTGACATATGTTGTTTTGTGTTTTTGATTGCAATTAGAGGATGTGTCTGCGTATTAAAGAAGCAGTGGAACGTGGCTGCTGCAATATGGCCACACCTTAGTGCCACTAGAGAAGAAGCATGCAGAAATATTCTATACAC